GACTAAATTTATGTGAATTGATAACTTTTAGTCCGTTCTATACATTAAAACTTTAATATAAAATGGGTAACTAATAAAACACTGCCACAGTTTAATTATAATTTTGAAATCAAAATTAATGAATGAATGGGTTAACATTTGATTGATTTTAAGAAATCAGATAATTTGGCTTGATGGTAGTTAAAATTTTAATTTGAAATTCTTCTGCGTAAATCCCACAAATTTAAGGACCTATTTAAAAGATTTGCTGCACGAAAAATATTAAGATTAATTGGGAAATTTTACTAATTTTTCAAATTCTATAAAACCGTAAAGTTAAAGATACTTCAGGACTTTCTGCACAACATAAATATAGTTTATTTATGTTGCCCACAATTTTTCAATCGCTGGTAATAATTTTTTCATTCGTCTTTTTTACGAATATGCCCAACTTGTGTTTATGACACGAATTAAGTTTATAAATTACAATATAACGACCTATATATTCCGCATATATAAATAAATCCGGTCCGCGAATTATATACATATTATAGGTATAATATTTTTTTAATAATTTTCAAAAATTTTTAGTGAATTTTATATAGGTAAATAAAATAGCTATGCCTTTTGAGAAAAACTTTTATATTAATATAAAAATCTGTTGTAAAAGGCACAACAAAAAAACAAAAAAATAACTTGAATCAGCATAAAAGTTGTAAACGAACAACAAAAAAACTGAAAAAAAAAAGTGTTTACTCATATTTTCAATTTTGATTTTTGAATAAGGTTTACAAATAAAAGTTTTCTATATATTATTCACCAAAAACAAAAAAAAAAAGCATAATAGAACTGCAAGTGTGTAAAAAAATATTTTTCATTTTAAAATTTGGTAAAAATTTTTTTTTCCACATTTGTATACACTGGAAAACTTTACCTTTTATTTAAAAATATCAAAAAATTATAAGAAGAAAAGAATTGAAACCCGGTGTATTAAAACATTTTTCCTTCACCATTCAAAGATTTTCTTTTTTTTTTTTTGGGATAAAATGAATTTTCATCTACCTAGCAACATATACGTACTATATAATTTTCATACAAATATACCTTTCATATACAGTATTATCAAGATAATTCGGACAATAAGAAACCCAAGCCTTTTCGAATTTTTCGTTATTACTGAGTTTACACAAAATTGTTTAATGAAAATTTTTTAATGCTTATAAACTTCATTTTAAGCACATAAATTTATCAGAAAATAAAATTTTTAATTTAGTCTTCTTAAAAGCATAAATTCCCCTAGAAGGCTAAAGAGGACTTTGCCTTCTGATTTAGCGTTGAATATCTTTCAATCTATATTAAAGAAAATTTGATGGTTGGTCTAAGGGGACTAGTATCAGAAAATAAGGAGGAGGTTTTTGTGGTAAAACACAAAACTAACTATGGGTTGCCAGGGAATGGCTTGTTAGTAGCATTCATGTTTTTCTCCTTCCTTCGATGGAAAAAAAAAAAAAAGCAAAAAGCATAAATTCAACTATAAGTACTTTTACTCAAAACTCAATCGGTAACAAAATCCAAAATTCAAATCACAACAGCAAAATGAATTGTGTTTGCAGATAAACATTCTTGTTTATATACAAGACTGTAGGAGTTTACAATATCTATGTAGAGAATACCAAACCAAAAACGACAGACTTCTAAAATTAAATTTTTTTTTCTCTTTATTCTTCAATATATTATATTTTTGAGCACACTCTTGCTTTTTTACGGACCCTTCATAACAATTACGGCAATTGTGCGAAATATCAAGTGTTCAGATTATCAGAGTCTTTACTGTATATGTATCGTACTTGGATAACTTAAACTTACTATTTTTTCAAAACGTTATAATTTATGACATCATAATAATACGGTTGATCTCAAAATTTTTGGGATTATTTCACATTCTGTCGGAGTTTTCTCTCCTATACTATATTCGTTCGTATACCCATTTTTTTTTTACAACAAACGCAAAAAAAAAAAGAAGATGAAGGTCTATTGTTATAAATGGAGAGAACAAAGTGCTATTTATAACAATAATAATGGTTTTAAAAGAAAAATTATTTTCCGGTATAAGAGAGAAAGAGGGAGAAAACCCATCGTCATCATTACAAAAACATAATAATATTATTCATATATATACATTACGCGTGTGTTTGTATACTTATGAATTCATTTATAATGTTTTGTAATAAATCAATAACTTTGACACTATCGATAACGGTGAATCGATTGACCGCATACAGAGACAGAAAAGAAAATTATAATAAAAGTGTATAGCATAAAAACTCATAGGTAAGCAAGTGTATTCATTCGATTTCAAAAATAGATGTGTTATTTTTTTTATAGTGTATAAAAATCTGATGTGATCAGCATATGACCAATTGCACTGTGCAAGTATAATTGCCGAAAGATATTTACAAAAATGCTAAAGAATCAGTTTGTTTCACAGAAACAGTTACGTAAATGGGTAAAAATGTGTTTTTTACATGGTTATACTAAATTTAAAGAAACTCGGTGAGTTTTTGTCGTATATTCGGTAAGCTTGTGACTTAAAAATTGATATCTACGCTTCAACGATTAATCAATCCATTTTATCCGTAAAATACTAAAAATTTCCATTGAAATCGATTTCAATCTTAATTTGGGCGTAAAGATCTCACTGAAAACAATTGTAATGCACTTTTCAAACGCAATGCAGGATATCCAGATTTCCAACGCAACGGATACTTTCTATTTCTATATAGTACTTGTCATATTAAATGCAATATTTTTCTTATTAACTGCATTGCATTGTATAGTAAGGTGTGTAATACTTTTGTATATACATTGGGTGAGGATTACAGAATAAAAGAATATAATTTTTTATAATTTATTGATGTTATATAATCCAAGTTATTTTATAAATGCATCATATACGTTTACATAGAGTTATGCATCAAAAGAAGATTAGAATTTGAAATTTCTGTGTTTGCGCAGCATTATTTTTTTATTCAAATAAAGTAATTCCAAAGTCACATAATAGTTGCATTATAAATAATTTAGGTGCATAACAGTTTTAATGAGGTAATAATGATGACGCTTTTCATTTTGTATACCAAATGCCTATATGTACAGGATTTTACTTTTGAAAAGAAATTAAAACTTCTGAATTTAAAATATGCAAATGAATTCAATAAAATTACAAAATTATAGCCAAATGTTATTTTTCTGTAATATACGAATGATAAAATTTTGTTGGTCACTTCTAGCGAATGCTCATTATGAGCACATAATTTTGATACGGATTAATTTTTAAATTTTGGCTTGTATCTTATTATTACAATATTAATTTAGTAAAAAAATTTGCCAAATAATGGCACATAAAATTTCTTTGAGTTTCATAAAAACATTAAAATAAATTCAAAATGCCATCATTATTAATTAATACTGCTGACTTGCGTTCCATTATAAAATGCTTTAAATACTGCAACACAATTTTGGTGTGAGAGAATGCGTATCTGTGACAACATCAAGTTATTAATTTTTTTTATATACCAAATTGGAGTTGTATACATAAAATTAAATTCCTCAAATTAATGACATCTAATTTAAACGAGTTCAGTTACCCGAAATGAAGTCAAATGAACTTTGAATTAGACAAGTCAGTGTATTTTTCCAGAATTTAAATACAAATTCATTACAGCTACACCTTTACATATACGGCATTGTTGAGATAATTCGGACAATTACCCTTTTCGAATTGCCGATTTGTCCGTAAATTAATATAAAATATTCAAATTTATTACAAACCTAATTGATTTTCACACGAACCGCTCAAAACTGTATCATAAACTTAAAAATATTTTAAGAATTCTGTTATCTTGAATTTTATATTCATAATGCAAAATTTACAAGCTAAAACGCAAAAAAATGGGGAAAAAAATTGAAAAAGAAAAAAAATACATCCTTTTTATCGTTTAAAAGGCGCAATGACGAAACAGAAAAAAAATTTGAAAAATAAATTTTTCACAATTCAATACACAAAAGCATCCTTCGATTTTCCAAACAGTGATATATGATTTTACAATGAGACGCTTACAACCTTACACAAACTTATGTTTAATCTTTATTTACATACATAGAATTTACTGTACATGTATATAGATCATTAATATATTATAGTTCTATCAATAGTGTAGGTAAATGAATATTTGATAAGGATAGATTCATAAGTATCTAAAAGCACACGATATACATATATAGAAAAATATGAATATGTATAGATAAATTCTCTCTTTTGGTGATTGAACTCATTAATATTTTAAAAGAAACCTGAAAGGCATTTGAACCATAATAATAATGATGTTAAATAAAGAATCCCGAATGTTTATAAAACGAGAGTCGAAGAGAAAATGTAAAAAAAATAATATTCTTATGGGATTTATAGTTAAATATTTTGTGTGTTTTTAAAGAGTATTAGAGAAAAAAAGAGAATAAAAGTGTTCTACTTCTTGTATAACACAAGGTGAAATATTACTAAAATTAATGCTAGTAAAATCTCGAAAAGATACTTGAATTGAAATGTATTGAATAATATATTCATGTTAATATTATTAACTGAAAATGTAATCTTATTACATATTTCATAATCGTAGAACAATGTTAAGTTCACACAGCCTTTTAATATTCAGTATTAATTCTTTGCAATAAAATTAAAATTTTTAATAAGGTTTAAATAAAGTTGCTCTTAAATATGAAACAAAAGAGTTAATATTTTTAATAGTCACCTTATAGGCAGGAATGCTTTAATAAGTTTATATTTTGAATCTGTATAATTTTTGCACATTTCAAAAGAAGCTATCGTCAAACAGATTTAAGGTGTCAGAGAGGGCTGTTAATACCCGAAATATTATACTCAACTTTCACTTGTTCTTATACAATGATAAAACACTTGTTCAATGTTCTATAATGAAAACGTGATAAATTTTTTCGTACCCACTTACCATTTTAATGTCAGAAATGTTAACATTTTGTTTTGTCAAAGTCTGAAAATAAAAAATAAAACACATAAAAAATAAATTCAATTATTTGTATTTAATTATTCAATTTTAAATGAATTTTGATCCTAAGTTTTAATTTTAAAAAGTTTCTTTAATTAAGAAATTTAATGACTTCCGATCACATTCATTTTCTTTTCCACGCCTAAATGTATGCAATTTTCGTCAATTATATAATTATTTGATGTTATATCAGAGATTTTGTACGATAACAAAGAAAAAACTTTCCTTTTAGTTTTTTGGACCTTCTTGCTTAGCTATTTGGCATAATAAGCAAATAATGCTGAAAACTGTGTCGAAAAAGAGTTAAAAAAACATTTTTTTATTGCCTCCTTTAAAGATTTTTTTTAAAATTGAAAATGGAAAAGTAAAAATAATTTCTAGTTCATATAAGTTGCACAATCGTTATTCCTCAATTTCATAGGAGGGACAGGATGAAACTTGATTTAATTATTCCGTGAATCAGTTCAATTTGAAAATAGTAAAGCCTTGCCTATAGCAAATTATTCGTATTATTTTTAAATTTTTAATAAGCAAATATTGTAAATTGCATTTTTCTTTTCCAATAAAATTCCAACAAAATTCTCATAAAATTGCATTAGAATTTCCCATAAAATTCCCATAAAATTGTATTAGTCCCTTTTCCCAAATTCTAATTTAATTTAAAATTCTTGAAAAGGATTTGTATACCGCCCACATGAATATTGAATATATGCAACTAGATGTAAAAGAATTCATAATTCCCATGCTCTTCACAGTCTTAAAATAACACAGAAGTTTATAACACCTTAAAACTTGTATAAATTTTGAATATAATAAAAAATAAGATTACCAAAAAAAAAATAAAATGAAATAAAATAATAAAAATAGAAGATGTGCGGTTCTCATACTGAAATTATTCTGAAACATTCAATTTTAATAAAATACTTGTACACATTATCAAAAAATAAAAAAGAAAGAGAGAGAAAATGTTGAACATTAAAGCTAGAATATATTCCAATGTGTTATCCTTTATATACCTACAATTCATTAATTTTTTTTTCAGAAATTTTGCATATACACGAAACACTAATAAAATTTTAAGAAAATATTTTTTTTTTCTCTTTGGTTATGTTATGATCAGTGTTCCCACTCAATAAAAACAAAATGTATCCAATTTCGAGAAAAAAATGTATCCAAAATGTATCCAGCCTCCTAAAGTGGAATTATTATTCTAAATCGTCTTATTTTATACCAATAAACTCGTAAATAATATTAATTTGCTTTATTCAACAATGTGAATTTCGTTATTTATAGTAAATTCTTTTAGAAATCACACGCAATTTCTACTACATTTTAAAATTTAAGGTCAGAAAATATATGTTCTGTAGCTGTTGAACTATGCGGTAAAAACGATTCAGCATGAAAACGGGCAAATTTTATTTAGTCAGCAAATAAAATTTTTTGGAAGATAAAGCACTTAAAAGTTACAGCACTTTAAAAGTTTTCTAACATTTATTTAGTTTTCGAGAAAGAAATGTATCCATATTTCAGCAAAATTTTAAAATGTAGCCAATTTCGACATTTTAGCAGATTTGAGTATCTTTGTATCCAAGCTAAATTTTAAAGCAAAAATGTATCCAAATGGATACAATTGTATCCAAGTGGGAACGCTGGTTATGATTGCGACGCGGCATGACATTTAATAGTGACGGTTACTGCTGTTTTTTTTTCTAGGGTTGCCATTTTTCTGTATTTTCTTATTTTTCTTTTTTATTTACGTCTCTTCTATACGTTAATATTATTTTAGAATTTTATGATATTCTTAATGTCGTAAAAATTCCTTTTTTTTTGCGTGATAAACTTTTAAGGAGCTCATTTTATAATTTTTGTACATATATACATATACATAAATTCTAATGTTCCTTACATTATAAATGTCATATGTGTTGTTTACATTATTTACATATTGCATATGTAAATCTAGAAAATTTTTCTTATAAAATATGAAGCTAATTTTTTTGAATATTATTTTAAATAAAACAAAAACAAAAATGCTTTTACTTTCCTTCTCTCTGTTATCATGTTTATATGTAGTAGTGTCATGAAAATTATTCGAATGAAAATTTGAAAAAGAAGAAAGAAAATTGTGTATAAAGGATAATAATAACGAATGCTTATCTTGCCAGCTACGAAAAATTTTTCTATTATTCTGTTTTTTTTTTATCGTATTTTTAAAATATGTTTAATGTAAAACGATTTAGTCAAAGAAATTGGAAAGATTTATTTTTTGTTTGAGATGCGTAAACTGAAAAATGAATTTCTTTTTATATTATGAAATAAATGTGATTGATCAATATTGAATGAAGTAAAATTGGCTAAAAGAATTTTTTATTTTTAAAATTATTTTTATATAAATATAAAAATAATTTTAATTAATTTGTAGGTTTGAATTTCGAAAAATAAAAATTTTGAATTGTATGTTAAATTGCTCTATGTAAAGATCAAAATTTCCTTGAAAAAGATTAATTACTCTTAATGAGCTCTTTAAGCTCAAAATAATGGAATAAGATTTAATTAGGGCACTAAAAATTTATCTCCCTTTTTTCCGATTACCAATACAACGTGTAGGTGTAGGTATCTTTATTATTAATTTTTTCATACAATTGCAGAACAGATGGATGACGTAATCAAAGGAACGAGTCGAACTGGACTCGAACCAGTAACTTGGTAATCGAGTAGATTACTGTATAAAGCAATGTGAAGAACTATTCGTCAGCAGTTTCTGCATACCTCCATAGCTCAGTTGGTAGGTTTGTCATCCATGTGTTCTGCAGTTGTATACAGGCATTTCCATTAGTTTTTTATGTTTCTGAGTATATGATTACTATTTTATCGAACTTAGATGCGCATAGGAATTAGTAATAGGTAAGATGAAAATAACAACGCGAAAATTCATAAAAGTCTTATTAAAATCAGAAGAAAATGGACAATTTACAATTTGTCATTTTGTTTTTACAATGATTTTCATCAATTTTTCACTTGCTAGTAAAAATGCAAAATGAAATTATTGTACAAATCGTTTTACTTCGTTTAAGACGAAAAGCAAATCTTCAAATTTATCACATTTTCACTCACATGAGGATAACTTAGCACATAATACCTTCTTCTAATTTAAAAATTGTATGGCAGGATTATATAATACGTTGAGAAATTTTTTCTCATCCTGTTCTTGAACAATTGGGTTACTAATAATGCCCTAGATTTATTGCAATTGAATACCACACATTTGTAGGCATAGCATTTTTAGTTTAGCTTTTTGCAGAGTGCCATAGATTCAAAGCAATTTAATATTATCTTTTATAAATTTTCTTAATTGCTTACATTTTGCTATTACTTTTTTGGTTTTTAAAAAAAATCATTGTGAATCCTATTTTATTTTGCATAAAGTTACCCAACCAAAAAATAATAATAATTAACTAAAATATTTTCTAATTATCGACAAAAGAAAAATCCGAATTTACAAAGAAAATTTTTGAATTTATAAAATCTTTAACAAAATAAAGAAAATATTTAAAGTTGTGAATTTGCTCACTGATAACAAAATTTGCATTGAAATTATCATAACATTTTTTTAAGAAACCCGATTAGGTCAAGGTCGAAAAGGTTATTCAAGTTGGATAAATTCTTTTCAATGGTGCAATTTTTTTATTTTTGGGAATTTTCAAATTATTCTCGCGTAAAATACTTTTAAAGATAGCTATATAACTAAATTACTAATTGGTTTAAGGCTGATGGGCATGTATAATACTTCCAAATCGTAATTATCTTTGAATATTTTCTGTTCCTTCAATTTAAAATTAAAATATAGAAAGAAGAAGATTAAGTTTCTTTATATACCTTACTTAATTTAATAAAACATTTTGAATACTTTATGATATTAATTCGAATTTATGTTAAAAGGTGCAACAAATGAATGAATTTATCTGAATCTACCAAAAAAAAAATTCCTGGAAATGAACATTTAAATTAAATTATTCTTGTTTAGGGTATTCTTTACAATTATTAGAATGACATATAAACGAAAAAAAAAAAAAAAATTCAAAATATGAAATAAAAAATTGAAAATGGGGGAAAAAATCCTCTTTGCAAAATTATTAAAGTAACTGTGAAGCAAAAAGCATTATGTAATATTAAGACCTTTAAGAAAAAATGAAATTGAATATTCGCGATACCATAAATTCTTTTTGCACAAAAAAAAAAACAAAAGTGAAAAAATTCGCGAGAGGCGTTAAGCAGCTGTTATGATGAACCCTAAAAGGGAGATAAACAAAAATCAACAAATATAATAACAACAATAATATAAACAAAAAATTCCAAAAAAAAAAATACAAAATTGAAAAAAAAATTTTTTTTTTTGCCTTTTTATTTTAAAGATATTTTCCTTTTACTTTACTTAAAAAAAACAAAAACTAAGCATTTCCTCCATCGCTTTTCATTCCTTTAACAAAATTATTTTCCATGATTTTCTCTCATTTCTCTTACGACAATTCAAAAATGGATTGAAGAGAACAGTAAAATACAAAACAAAAAAATAAAATAATGGGGATTTAAATTTTCATCAAATTATTTTTAGTATTCGTAAGAGTTTGAGATCAATTACATTGCGTTATCAAGGTTGAAATATCTTAAAATAACTAAAGTTTACCTGAGGGACTGATAAAGCTATATTACTTAAATTATTTTGATGGAAGATTATTGTAAGGGACTTGAAACCTTGACACAATTTTTAAATTATTTTTGATATTTAAGAAGGATAAAAATTATTAGTATCTATATATTTTAGTGAAACTGTTATATTATAATATATAACACCATTCTATTCCACAATGTATTTGAGTAAGGTTATTAAAGATGTAACAAAATTTTGCAACTTGGGAAATGTTTAACAATCAGTGAAAATTGTAAAAAAAAATATGTATACCAATTTCCATTTTTAATAAGCAAAT